AATAATCAAAATTAAAAATAAACAAATAAAAAATAACAAAAAATAAAATAAAATAAAGAGATGAACATCCACATGCATTCAAACTGGATAAAGATAAACTTGTGTCTCAACCATCTGTTACTAAACAAGCCACTCAGCAAATAAAACCCAACAGTAATCTCACTTTACACTCGTGGCCTGCGAAGATCCCAGGGGCATAATAATCACACGCGTGGCTAAGACAAAAAGCAGGGATGGGCGAGACAGGATAAGAACAAAGCTTGATAAAATTCGTGTATAATACACGTACGAACAAATACGTAACACGTAACGGACAAACAATTTCTATATAAAAATATATATTCCAGCAAAAAATACATAACACATACCGGACAAAAAATCCCTATACAAAAAAAAAATGTTCCACTAAATATACGTTGCATGAACAGAACGGGTAAAATGCACAAACATGGTGTGCAAATGCGCTGTGCACGAGAGCTAAACACTTGCAACTCGTTAACAGAATGCTACACCATTTTCCAAAAGCATCCTCCTAAACTAATTGCATTTGAGCATCCCAAATCCAGCATGATAACGATGTTTTACGGCGGCCCAATTGCATGGCGATTACTGCAACCCCCCCCACTCCCGGGACTAACGGAAACGAGTCATCCAGGTGCTCGCTTACAACCGCCACTCTGATCACTTCCTAGATATTGTTTTTTTTCCGCTTAACGGTTTTTATGCCTCTCTTTCCCGCTCTTTTAGGGCCAATTTTGTCTTCCGATGTAAGCGATTGTGAGTAGACTTTGTTTAATCTATTTGCTCTGGGTTGCATGGAAAGGCGGGATGCAGAATGTAACTCTTATTTCGCAAAGAAGTTATCTTAAATAATGCAATACCACAGGTTAGCAACTTCAACTGACGGATTGTATAGCTCTACCGGTACAATTCGTTAATTCAAATATTCACTTGGAAGCAAAAAATAAATCAATAAAGAGAAAAATGCCTCTATGTCTCGCCACTACGCAGTGCCATCAACATTTCAACTTTTGGCCAGGTGCGCCTAGACGTGGGTGAAGAGCAACGTGTCACGAACACCCACGACAGGAATTAGCACCCAAACCCCTTTTGGCAGCAGAGTTACAACGCACCCCACAGCCACAATGTCGTTCCCCATACCCTATACTCCCTCCTCGCACTCTCGCCAAAACATGTGGGAAAAAAGAAAATGTTTATGACCCTTTCCTCCCCCTCCTCACTACTCCCTCTCCCCCCCTCCCCATCCACCCACCATGCACAACTTCCGGTCGTGACCCAAGCCAGCTGTCAAGATTAATCCACAACCGACGCAAGGAGTAAAACGCGCGGTCAAAAATCACCAGCACGTGGTAGCGTCACCATTCCACGTGTCTTGGCAGCCGCCGGCCCCCACCCTCGCTGCAACACCTTCCCCCCCCCCCCGCCCCTTACAGAGGACCCACGTGGCAGACGTATAAATACCCAACAGCTGACTTGGGGTCATCATCACATGACGGGGGACCAAGAATGCATCATTGGCGCCACTGTTACGTCATTCTTTATCTTGACGATTGAACCTGGTCTATAAACCGACCCTCTTTGATTCTTTATCTATCTATCTATCTATCTATCTATATACATATATTCTTTCTGCGGTATATTTATTCATTCAACTCTACGCTAACTCCTTCTCTCCCTTCCCCCTTCCTCCTCTCTACTGTATATCGTCTATGAATAATATACATACATATAGGTATGCAAATACATTTATGCACTAAGACACTATCAGCGTATACATAACGGTAAACATGGAGCTAATGATCGCATTACACACTAAGCAAATATACAGACAATTGCACCATATATCTATAAACAACGTTCTAACAAAGACAGCTGCAGCACTATTCATAATCAACGCACTACATACCCCCAACAAACAGTACTATAACCGAACCCGACACAAACAAATACAAACATCCCCTAAGGGAGACAAAAACGACCCAAATACCGCAACAAGACAAACCACATCCCCATCATAACACAACCAAAACAAAACATACAACGCAACGATCAACCATATCAACAAAACACACAAATTACGCCAGAAAAGCCCGTTCCAACCCCAAAGGCGGTTCCTTGGCGTACTGGGGCCCATGCTGACCTCAATAGGGCTTGGTGCTATCCTGAGGCCGCATCACGTGGCTTTATCATCGCCACCACCCACCCCCGCCATCACGGTCTCTGCCAAAATTAGGTCTTCCTTCTTCGGGATCATGGTTTCGTATCTTTATATATAGCGTGGACTTACTGAGCGTGTGATCTAGATGAATAAACCTGCTGTATTCTCATCCTCTCTCATCTTTCCCATTTATGTCTGTCTCTCTGTCTTGGTTAGACTTACATAGACACACATAATTTATCTCTATCAATATATCCAATCATACAAACAAATAAATAAGTAACAATTCAATAAACTAATTATACAACTTGATAAAAATCA